TTCAAATAGAAGATATTATTTTACTGGTATTTTGCATTTTTTTTTCATGGCAATCGTTTCATAGGTTGATAAAGTTCATTGTCGGCTGATGGGTGACTAGTCTACTATACCTTTACTAAGCTCTTAATATTTTTCACCTAAACAATTTCGTGCTTTGAGTTCCTAGTCCAGAATTAGCACTTATTGTCGATGTCCATTATAAATCTCCTACTTGTTTTCAGACAGTTTTTCATTGAAAATATGTGTCCACCAAATTTCATAAAATTTTAGGGAAATCCTATATAATTTTAGTTCAGACTTTCTAATTTAAATCAATTTCACTTTGAAAATTATCCATTTCTGTACCGATTTTCGATAAATCAGGACAATAACGAATAATTTAGAATTACTAGAAATATTACAGATGTAACGGACATAAAATTTACATCCCAAGGTAAGTGTACGAGACGCCTATTACAAACTAAATGAAAAGATGGTAACCAACACCATCGTATAACTCAGTATAATTGCATGACTACATTTTACTTTTCGGTTGGATGAATAATCAACAACCTAGTGCGTAAATGAGCTTGACTTATCTAAGATCTTGGACTTTCAGACGTACAATGAAGATCTAGGTTGCATTATTAACGATTTTTATCCACTATAAACGTCTCTTCACTTAATAATTTGTACATGCGAGCAAGCAAACCGTCACTCATTTTAATGAGCAAACAATAAAATGTTATTTATTCAATGAGAATGAACCTGAGCCGTCATGCAATGATGCTGTGATTACAACTCTATGGGATGAGGCATAGTAAAGATAACGAAATCTCAATCTACAACTATTAAATTACTAGTGATACGTTTCCATTTCGGAAGCACAGAACAAGTTCAAAGGGACTTTACAGATGACTCTGGAAGCTAAAATCTTTTAGAGATGGTGGTTAGTGTATAGTCAATCCACCTGAAATCTCCATAGGTTTCCCATCGCCCACTGTTTAGATCAGTGTGAATCCAATGGTCTCCAACTCCAGTACATTCGTAATATGATTGGAGTTGAATTCAAACCTGAATCATGGTAGCATTCGAACCCGTAGTCCATGAGTAACCGGCTGATTTGTTAGACGCGATTGCTTGCTAAATCTCAATAACCTTTATGTCACTGAGTAGTAAAAAGCTGATAACAGTTCACTACACTAGTTTCCAGGCAAAACACATTGAGGTAAATTTGAGACGTAGCTAAGAGTTCGTCCTAATAAACCGACTAGTTGATTATTGAACCATCCACTATCGGTTCAGTGTTTTGGTCAAACCTAAATCTTCGCTGTTTATTCATAAATACGAATTAAGATTATCCTAACTGATCATGTTAAATTTTTGTCATCCTAAATGTTTTGACCAAACTACATATAAGGCCACTAAGCATAAGAATCACTCCGTACTCCTATTTTATCAGTTGTCTGTATTAGAGCATAGATTTTTATGCATAGTTTTTTAAACAAATTAACATAATTATGAAGTCCATTGAGTTGTATAACCACGTCACTTCTGCAAAGAAAATTAGAAACGATTCTCAGTTATCAAAGTTGCTATTTGAATCTTAAAACTATGAATAGTTAGTGATAGAGAGCAGTAGTATGGGGAGATGATACTGAGCAGTTTTACAGGATCTAAACTACATGATTTGCTGTAATATATTTGGTTTGAGGAAAGTCTGTTAGTCAGTCAGTTGGAAGGTAGAACTGTCAACGTACGCACATCATTTCAGGTTTCCAAAACCACACAAACACAGAGACGCAACTGTCACTTCGAATCCAATATTGTTGGCGATAGTAAAAGTATCAGCAGTAATGGAGATTCGAGAAGTATAATTCAGTGAGATGAATTTCGAAAGATATAGTTAAAGATGATGGGGAATTCAGAAGATTAGAATTTCAGAGAACACAAAGAGTGGATGCACCTGCACGATTGATAACGATTTTGAGCCATATCGTACAAGGTCTCTCACCATAGGTTACTTTCGTCTCGAGGACTCCAACAAGGTAGCCTACATCTACCAACATGATTCAGTCCACTTGTCAGTGACTTCATGTATTTCTGCCATGTTTTGGTTTGGCCGCCCCTGGCTTTCTTCCAACCTACTCCTACATCGAAAAACACGAGGCAGTCAGTGGTTGGGCATTCGTAACACATGTCATAACCACTTAAACTGATGAAGTTTCTCTACTTCGTCAATTGATCTGCCATACCTACTTTGTGCTTGTCTCCTAATAACAGCAAACCAATCTTGAAGCAACATTATGCATTTCGAGGGAGGAAACCGCATCCCGAACTTGCTTGCTTTGTTCTTTAGGACAGTCAGAAGACTCTGTATTTTGTCAGCGTCTTCACCTAATAGGACATTTATTCTAAGGACATGTTCTAGGTCAACAAGCGTGGTTCCTGGTAGAGGTCCACTCCTGAAGAGTCAGACGATGATAGTGTTAATTCTGGTAGCATATCTACGACAGAGTTAGACAAGAATGAAGAAAATGAACAACGCTCGCGGACATCACTTGAAGTAAAGAATTCCAATGACATTTCGACGTAAGCTGTAAATAGACAAGTAGTGTTCCAGCAGAAAGCTTATATGGGGTTATTATACTGCTTTCGTACAACTTTTGATGACAGATACTGCCACAGAACCTCACGATCAAAGAAATCGAATGTCGCTTTAGGGTCGAGAAATACTACTGTGTGTCGTTGTTCTAAGACCTGATGTAGTGTGAAAATTTTGTCTGAACAGCTACGTCCAGGTCAAAATCCAGCCTGGTTTTATCTAGTCTTCTTTTTAGGCGTCAGAGTATAATCTTTTAGACACTATTAATTACACTGATTTTCCTGTGACTGCCACGAGAGGACTTTTGTCCTTTATTGTAAATTGGGACAATCAGTGATTGAGACTAGTCAGATTGTATTACGCCCAGTTCCCAGGTTCTGCTCAAAATCTCAGTCATTCTAGCTGCTAGACTTGGACTATCATCGTTAAAAATCTCAGATGTAAATCTATCAGGTCCTGCTACTCTACCTCACCACAGATTTCCTGTAGCATTTTCAACTTCATAAAAACTCGGAGGGTTTACTTCGACTTGCCATTCAGAATAACTGGAGATCGTGGGTAAGCGAAGTATAACTAAAGACAGGCTGAACTGATCCCTAAATTCTGCACTTTCATCTAATCTCCTAGATTGAGAATGGATAATGGTTCCATTCCTTTTCCGAGATAGTTTCACTAACAGTCGGATTCCCAGTACCAGTTTACTTAGTAACTCTGAACAGTTGTCTACAGTTATCTATCACCACTGCCTTTTCCATAGCTCTTGCTTTCGCTACCCACCACTACTCACAATCATTGCATAGGCTTTTTATCATACTTCGTCTAAGCTGCCTTCGCTCATCATGTTCAGAGCCAGGCGAGATGACTTTACGAGGGTCTATCAGTTCGCTGGATGATGCTGGGATCCGCTTCTTCCTAACCTTATGATTCACCTTACTAGCAGATATCTTTGCTGCATCCACAGCATTTTGGATGCCGTACCAAGATACCTCGGGATGGGCATCACTTACATCGCCGCCTAACTGTTTTTCTAGTTGCCCCTGAACCTTATTCTTAGTTGTGCTATCATTAAGTAGATACCTAAGAGGTGTCTTTCCTACGTCCAGCAAGTCGCAAACTAATACGCGCTCGCAATAGAGCATGATCTGAATCTAGACAAGTGCCCCAGAACGAGCAACAGTCCTCTATCGAACGCCTCCATCGGTGACTGATTGCGACGAGATCTAGTTGGGTCCAGCGTTGAGACGACTTGGGGGCCGCCAGCCCAGGAGATGTTTTACCTTATGCTCATATTGCTAGGAATATGCGCTTATCTGAGCATAGTTGCAGCAGACGGTCACCATTATCTGTTCTCTGAACCACGACACCAAAAGATCCACCCGGGTGTATTTCCTTTTCGCTGAGTCTAACTACTTGAGCGTCGAAGTCATCAGCCATTATTACTACATCAGACCGCCTAACCTTTTGGAGGAGTTCTAAAAGCTTTCTGTAAAACCCATCTTTCACCTCGTCTGAACTGCAGTTAGTGGGAGCATGGGCAGATACGATGAAGAAGTAACAGTGAGTCTCCCCATCTTTCCGAATCTTTAGTGTCCCGTTCAGTTGGACAGCGCACAAGCAACTATCTACGGGGATCCAGTCTAAGAGAGCTAGTTCTGCCCTACAACTCAATGCTATACCTACCCCAGCGAGACCCCGGAAAGCAGCGTCAGGGCTTCCGGGTACAAGAAGGGCGAATCGAGCTGTTTATTTTGTCAAGATGAAATCAAATTGATGATTTTACTAGGATCTTGTACGCACGTTTCCGAGGAAGAAAGGAAGGAAGCCTGTTGCCCTATTTGACACAATGTCCGTACACTAAATGCTGCAACATGCAGTTTAGAGCGGGGCTTCAAGAGACCAGGAATAACGTTTTGGAGACTCGAATCGTTTGCAGAAGAGGTGTGGGGCGATAAATGTGAGAAGAGTTAGTCGTGAAGAAAAGCGGCTTGTTAGGGAGTGTAGGAAGGATTTGTTTGTGCTGTTATGGGTATGAGGAGGGATATTACTTCTCGACTGTTAGCACTGATAAGTTCTCGAGGTAGTGTCACTTTTATTAATAAACGATATGAATTTAGATTGTAATTTGAAAAATAAGGATCTTTTAGCACAAAATGTTATTTGATAGGAAATACAGAAACTGTAGTAAATATTTTTTTATACAGTGGACAGGCCCAGTGAGAAATATTTACAATGATTACCAGTGCAAGGTAAGTAGTAAAAGCATATAAGAATGCTCCATATGCGATATCTGGATTTTTTAAAAACTGAGGTATATAATGAAGTCCTCGTCTGACGCAATACCTGTACTCAGGTAACGCTTTTTAGCAAGGGAATCTACCTACTTCCGATTCTGATGCAACAACACTAAGTACGTCGATTCGAAAGCAAAGAACGCAACCCCCTTTTTTCTTGTAAATATTGAGTGGACTGTTACGATCATTCTCTAAATGCCGTTTCGTTTCTGTTTATTCTTCGTGTGTATGTTATCGCAGCTATATACACCTTAAATGTTTGGGAAATTTTATTAGAAATGTTGACGAAGAAAATACAGTTAATAAAAGCTGATAAATCTTATAAAGCGACGAAATTAATGATAGCAATATACAGTTTTCCATCAGTGATAGGGAAGCGAAAGTCCAAGTAAGATATGAGTACAGTACTTGATTTAGAAAAATATGAGAAAAAAATTAATTTAAAAAAAAAAAGATTAAAAAATCTGGAATTACACAACATCAAGGTAGCGAAATTAGATAATTATGTTCACCATCAAATGCAAACGAAAGTTTGGTATTAGAAGTTCAAGAACAGTTAGTATCTGTAGGTGTCATGAAATCATCATTGTCTGAGATAAGAGGAATGAATTCCGGAGGAGGATATACGTTGCGTAATGAGCCAGCTGGAGCAGTAGTAGGACTAGAATGATCATAGTCAAACGTATTTTCCTGTTTGGGAGGAAAAGTTTCACAGAGGCTTCTAGAAGCAAATGTTCTCTTTGTTTTCTGATGACTAGATTTGCTCGAAAATGACGTGTGCAACCATATATGCCGTTTATTACACTAAAACGAAACAACAAGATGTTATTAGGTGAAATAAATATAAACTGTAACTAACATTTTCTAACTAGGCGAACAGACATAGAGAAGCGTTCTTAACTAATATATAACCATTAAATTAATTAAAAATGGATACAAGAATGGTCAATAAAAAAACCTTGAGGAAATAAAACTAGTTTACCTTCATTTTTGTGAATATTGATGGTCGCTTGTGAAGTAAAAGAAAATGATTTCCCATTTTTATGTTGTAGTAGATTAATCCAATTTCGAAACAATCACTGCGGCTTCGATCTAAGCGTCCCGACAAACCAGGGGTAGGAAAACGCTTTAGAAGCTCCACTCATTTACAATTCGGGAATCAATGCTAGAGCACTCAGTGTGTGAGCTGGCAATAATTATGTGCAAGGTGATTTGTACAATTTTAGACCTTTTTGGAACACTCGATGTATTTTATGCGTATTACAGTAGTACATTTCTAAAATAAACCTAACGGAACCAACAGAAATGCATATAACCTCGTATGCTTTACATCCTTTGTTAGCAAAATAGTTTAGTGGCGAGACTTTCATGGGTTTAAGTATCCTGCACCAATCACATCTCAAAAAGCACTAGTTAGGACTCCAGAAGATAGTTTTACACAATGGTTAGAATGTTAGCTCGAATACTTAGTTTTAAAAACGAAGTTTTTGCTACCACACATAAAGACATCAAACTAAATTTGAATGATTTTTAGCATTAATTTATCGGATTCGTACTGTCCTGAGGTTTATTCGTCTGGATAGATTAATTTTAATCCAACCGAGACAGTAAAGTGTAATTTCACTTTGAATGAACAAATATGTGCTCGACTATTCAGCTGAACTACGTTTAACTTAATTTTCACAGTAAGGAAATAAAAATCCTAAAAAAGCAGTCGATTTGGAAAACGGTAGTAATAAACAACTCATGCTCAAAAAGAAAATCTAACCACAATTGTATCAAAAAAGCCACACTTTAAGTAAAGGATTAAACTGGCAAAACAATCACAGTACTACAAAGTATTTGTGCAACTGAAAAATTAGAAGACGTGATAAGTAGTTGTTGAACGAACGCAGGGGAAGGAAATCTTTGTCTTCCTTGATTCTCTCCTTAAGAATAATCATATGCTCATCAATCTCTAAACAATCCAAAGCATGAACGATTCTTTTATTAACTACAATTTTGTTATTAAAGACCCAAATTTGTTCAAATCCAACACTAGCATTTTTGTATAAACGTGATACCAATATAAATACTTTTGTTTACTAGACAGTACTATTTCTCCTAAAAATGTAAATAGTCGGACAAAATCTACGGAATAAATGAATTCATATTCGTCCGCTAGGATTGCTTTTCCCACTTAATTCGAAAACAATGTTATTAGTTTAATAAAACTGGAAAATGAACGTACCATGCGACCTAGTGGGCAACGACCAAGGGAGAACTTCAAACATACAGCAGTCTTCGGAGGATGTCTTACATGTAAGTAAGGACAGTTAACACGTTCACACTTTCCAGATTCATAGTAAGTGCATTGTGGTAGTCTACATGGATCCAACACATGAGCGAGTGGGCAAGAGCCGCTTCCCAAAGAACAGCTTTGTTGTAAAAACCTGTCAAACGAAAAAGTCAAGTACGTTTTAAATAACAATAGTGAAATAGTTTCAGCAGCAACAAACGCTCTCGTTTTAATTTGCAACATTTGTTCGGAAATGTATTCGAAAAGTTTATCAAGATTGGGCAACCATAACAGGCTATATAGATGAGGATGATGTGACGGATATAGGGATGAATGACTACATGAATAAGTGAAAGGGGACAGCTTAAATAAATCACGGAGTGATTTTTATCCTGAGGTTTTTCTGATATAAGTTTGGAGTTTAGCGACCACTATCCGCGGGTCACGAGCCACTTAAGGATGTTGGACTCAGTAAAATTATGTAACACGACACGGTGTGACTTCATGGGCTGATCGCACACCTCAATATAAGTCGTTCACTACGTTACCAAATGCTGGAACAAACGTAAAATTTAATCAGGAAGTCACAGTCGGTACTGCAAGGTGGTTCGTCAGATAAAGAGCTTAAGTTCTCACTTTTTTAATTGTAATAATCTAGTCAGAAGCTTTAGTATAACTGAAAGTACGAAAATTACTTTACGTAAAAGCATCCGCATGTTGTTACTAATCAGAATAATGTATATAAAAATTTCCGGTGACTTCTGACATTTTATGTAGACTCAGAAGCTAATATTATATCACGCATCATTTGGGATTTGAGTAAAATTTCTTCATTTAGCATCGCCAATCCTTACTACTAACTCATCGATTAGGTATGGATGCAGACACTTGATTGAGAACCACAAAAGGGTGGTATTATTATTCAGCTGCTCACAGAGTAATGGATGGGAAGGGGCTTGAATCTACGACTTAGTAGCTGAATGACAAACACGCTATAGCTCCTTATTCTTGGTGATTGAGAAAAAGCCAGTGCTTTCAGCATACTATGTTTACCGTTATTGTGAGAAATAGTCACTGGGTACAGTTAAAAACCTGGTACAAAGGCATAGAAACATTCACTTAACCAAAACTAACATTTGTTTACTCATTGCCTAACTTAGAGTGACTCACAGGGAAGTAAAATGCAGGTCATGAAAAGTCTCCGACGCTTGAACTGTGTTTCCAGTTGATATGAACCTTTGTTTACTATCCTTAGAAGCCAGATCTTGCACGTACTAATTGAGACAAATAGAACTTTCAAGTAGAGAACTAATCCTAAGTATTTTATACGTGGTATGATGTTCACCATCAAATTCAAGATATCCGTTGTACGTGAGAGTAAACACCACTGTTTATACAATACATACTTCAGATACAAAACGTGTCCGAACGTTTACATCCTCGTTTAGATCTCAAATGTTTTTCCTTTCACTTGACAGAACTAAGTTCTGCACGCACCCAAAATCACCATGTGAATAAATAAAACCAATTCCATTGGCACATACATAACACATATAAGAACGTCAAATTTCGCTTTCTTCAGATGTTAACTACCAAAGTATTGTCATAAGACCTTTAAACAAATGAAGCGACATCAGTAAACTGATTTTTAAGAGCAGAAACGAAGAACTACTTCAATTGTTATGCACCATAAGTAATTAAAGTTCTACTTTATTCTGACTTTTTACGCTCTTTGGTCCAATACCATTAGTAGACATTGAAGTTGATAATGACACTAGTAAAATACGCATACATAAGATCAGGCTATATTTCACTGAAGACCTGCACGAAGTTCATTTCGAAACATGATCAGTAGTAGGTTTAAAACAGGATATGTATTTTCACTGAAATTACTACTGAGACAGTAATGTCGATATTCTAAAAAGACCTTAAATAATATAATGGCGTCTAAGTACGCACCTGTTTGTTAAACACTGTGAATTCACAAAACTGTTTCACTTAGTTACCGCAAATGACTTAGGATATGTTATGAGGTGCTTCATGTTAGAAATCAGAACAATGGTTACTGAAGCACAATAAGAACTACTTTAGAATCTTAACAAAATGGATCTCCAAAGTACAATTCAATCGGCTTTTAGTTAACAAGTTAAACATCGTTAATCAATAGCATCAACGAAGTGCGACTTACCTTGGACAGATACGCAGGTAGTTTTTATCATGCGAGTAAGAACACGGCAGTGCAGAGCAAGACCCAGTCCTGCAGTAACTTTGACAAACCATATGACGACGAAATTTTAAACTATGCACAGCTTTTCGAACAATTTTCCTGAAGCATTGTCAGCACAAATAGTAAACATACTTATATTGATGTGTAGATGAACGAGGTACATTGCGCTGGATCATTTTTTTAATGGAAAACCTCGTAACGACCTTGAAGTTTTCCTTACACACAGAACTCGAGCAAGCTGAACTACCAGGCTTAATATAACTAAATCGACTTGTTTTAGAGATTAATACATTGCTATTGCAAGGTAGAGAATTAGAATGATTCTCTAAAACACGAGTTACACTACTACTAGGAATCCCCTTATAGCATAATTTATCTTTGTGATGTGGAAAGCCTCGGTCGGGAATTATCAAGCAATAACGTCCCCTAGTATAATGGTAAGGTCTACCTCTGTTAATCCCTGTGTTATATGTCTGACTACCACTAAATTTAGAATATACACCAGAGGAACTATACTTATTTGCAGGCAGACTAGTTGAATTAGAATAAGTGCATTTATTCCACTTAAAAGAACTAGATACCGAGCGCCAAAAGAATGAATTGCCTTTGACATACTTATACCTATTTCGAAAATCTGATACCTTTGATTTGTTTGACGGTCTTGCAAACCATTTCAAAGATCTACAATGTTCCATTACCAACAAAAAGTGTAAATTTGGACTTTCGTTGGTTTGTGTTTAGGCAGGAGGTACCTTGTGTGCTGAGGGGTGTGAGGAGCAGTGAGTAAGATTATCTGGAAGAAAGAACAACAGAAAAAGATGAGCCGATAACTCAGTAAGCACATAGAATGCACTTACATTCAATAGATAAATTAACAGACGGCAACTAGAAATAAAGCCAGCATGACATCAGGACGCACTGTTAATAAATGAAGCTAAAAGTTATTAGAGTAAGGTTCCAAATACGTTACAGAAGTAGCGTTTATATGGACCGCTGTTATTCAAATCCGTTATTGTGTTCAAAATCTTCAAGTTCCAATTATCACTTTACTATAATCTCATTTCTGTTGTTTTCGACTACTTAATCCATGGAAAGTGAGTGCATTCTTTGAGCTTACTGATTCGTCAGCTCATTTTTACCAAAGAAGCTCACATACTACTCCGCATCCTCAACACACATGGTACCTGTAGGCTAAACACAAACTTACCAAAGGAAGAAGGTATATTTAGTAATGAAGGTGAGATTCAGTTCCGTCGAATTCAGGCTGTCGCCGCCTAAAAACTTTCATTTTCAAATGAGGTGCATCGGCAAGAGCGGAAACTGCAGGACCTTTTAGACTGCACAATTTCCGAAATGTTATATATATAAGAGATCATGATACTCAGGCATACAATTTGCATTCCAAAATAGCTATCTGATTCCTCAAATTAAATGTTTTATTGCAGCCAACTAGTCGTAATCTCAACTGAAGTGAGAATAAGCTCAATCTCTACCCTTTATTTACATAACCTGTTAAATCAGTGTGCCTAGTAGGTAAAGTTGAAGGTGTTGATATTGCAATCGTGCATGATACGACAGCTTCAGCATTCCTTAATAAAAGGTATTTTCTACTACCCTGAACCATCAGAACCAGGACTAATGACGGCAAGCGGCGAACCTCTGAAACCATGTTCAAAGAGGTGAGTAGGCCTAAGGATAGACAGGCATCCGTTTTGATACGAATCCTTAGTATTTCCTACTTTAACTTGAGATGTGACAGCTGGTGTCGATTTTATATTCGAAAATCAAGACCAACTGGACCTATACGAAATTCTTAAACTGTTTGTCGGACACTAAGCCAGAAACAAGTTATAAAATATCCTTTCAACCACAGCTTTACTCCGACAGTCTAGTTCTGAGTTCTATAAGAGCATCTCAGTAGAACGGACGACTACCGTTGTACATTCTACTCTCACAAGCAACTATATGTCCCTTCGTCAGCCCCCTCTCACAGCACCAGTACATTAGCGACCACAATTGGACTATTTGACTAAGATTCTGGAAATGAAGATCAGGGCTTCTTCATCACACTGCGCTTCACACAGTAATTTAGTGAAAAAAAGGCTACTCGACACTAAGAGGTTTCAATTACCTTGGCATGAACGAGATAAATAAACGCGATTCATCACCGCCTCCGTTGATTAACGAAAAATTTATCCAGGGAAACTCGTATATAAAAGAAATACATTATCAAAGTATACTGAAATTTCAACACATCATAAACATCAGTACAATTTTGTAAAGCTAAGATCTAAAAGTTCACAAACCAAGGCGTCGAATGATACATCCGACACCGATCATAATTGTAATGACCTCAGAAGCGATATACGACAATTAGAAAACTCGGTTACCCAAAATCGGCAACAAGCTTGACCACTTAGCATCCCTCACCAACATTTCGCCCTCAAATAATGGCCAGGACTTCGAGGAACCAACTGAGACTGAATGCATCGTAGAGTTTGTGGCTGATGAAGCTTCAGAAAGACTCATATCTTCCTACAGTCTTATTGTACATGATCCCCTGACCGAATATCTTCGAATAAATTAAGGGATACCTGTCGTCCAGTGCGTAGTATGGAAAAAGTCATTCGTCAATTCACAAGCCTCAGAAAAAAATCTGATAGAAAGACTTGTCCACTTTTTTCAAATACGGTTGATGTAACGGCGCAAGACAATTTGATAATTCGAGCAAAAACATTAGCTCATCAGCATTGTGAAACCCATTTTGAAGGCTTCGTTTTTGGAAAAATCCCTCCATGTATATATTTGTGTTATAATCTTGCTGAGTCTTTCTTTGCAATATTTTGGTACTCTGTTTAGTCCCAATTTGGGATGTTATTATTTGTATTTTGTTAAATTTCCTATTTTATGTACTTTTATTGGAGTTTATATGTTCCCTTCTGAACTGTAAATGTGTTGTTTGAATTGATGTTTAATATGGCCACAGCCATATCGGATTTGATACCTTTGCGGTAACTTCGTATTCTTGACTGGAAGGAAGCATTCTTCCAGAATTGGAAAATCATTGTTTGAATTTTGGATCGAAACAGTATAATATTGTTTAGGTAATTTTCTGTATTCCTTTATTGATTAATAATAGAACCGCTCTTACCCAACAACTTGTATTTTGAATTTGAACTGGGCAAGGCGCGTATATGACTTCTACTGCTTCCGAAACCAAGGTCCATTGAAGTAACATTGTTCTATAAAACTCGTATAACGATAACGATCTAATAACTTTGTCGCAGCGGACGATTTTCTGAAGACAACTAGCAACGATAAAGAAAAATAAACGCACAAATCACCTTGTGGATCTTTATGTGTCCGTGGAGTGAAGTAGGAATAATGTATCATTGAGAAAGCTAAAGACACCTGCACTTTCAATCCAGAATATTAGAACGTTAACTTGCTTGAATATGTGGCAAAAAGCAACACAAATCCAGTCGAAATTAATCAATCGAAGACTGAGTCCCCAAATATATCGAGCAAGATGACCCGAAAGAACTTGAATTTATCCTAGGAAACTCACCTAGGGCACCAAAACACTTTTCAACCTTAACTAAGAAGAGTGAACAGATTGAATCTTGAGTCTCAAATGAAAGAATGGGTAGGATTTAAATCAACTTATCCGCTACTCTCCCAGCCACGATGAACAGGCCCACCCCTCATTTCATGTAATGTAATCCTAGTCTCTGTAAATTTGAAGACTGATAATGATAAGAACACGTTCGACCAACATTTAGTCATGCAGAAAGATAATAATTATCTAAGAACTAGGTACCGTTACAACCACCAAACCATAGAGTTATTAGTGAATGTGGAAGTAGAAGATTTTTCACCCCACACCCTATCCTTAATACCCAGGCTTTTGTTCGCGAAAACGCTAAAAATGAAAACTCGATACATCCTACACTACCAAGCCAGCTGGTAAAATTGATCGCCGAATTTAGAAATTTTCATAACAACTGGCACTTGAACACGGCAAGCCCTCCCAAGATACAACCATTTCGAATAAATATAACCTAAGTATCGAGTTGTATCATCCAGACTGTACTAAAAACGGTGGTGCTCTGCTCTCCTCATGCTCTACCCATGTAGGTCATGGTAACTCTTTTACTCAAGTTACTCTCAACTATTTTAGCATAGCGGGACATTTGTTTAATATATGTCTTATTAATGCTTGTTCGATCTTTAATAAAAAGACAGATCTAGTCATGCTTGCGACTGTTTGCCAACCATCACTTATAACGCAACTGGAGCATGGACCTTCAGTAATATTTCTGATCTAACTATATCTATTAAAAACTATTATCTATTTCGAAGTGGTAGCCAACAAGGAAGGGTTGGATGATGCCTCATACATGCCCACTCTAGCCTAAACTCACCCTTATGTGCTATGTCGGAACTAAACAGATTGCCAGATTCTCTGTGGATCGTTCTGAAACCCTCAAATGCAGTTTCCTTGCTGTTCGACTGTGTCTACCGTCAGCCTCATGCACCAACAGGAGATTTAGAATTATTATCAGAAGTATTGACGTTTGTTTCATCCCTACCGTTTACAAGCATGGCTATTTGTGGGTACTTCAACATGCCTGAAATCTCTTGGTTCCCAATCAAAGCACCTTGACGATTCGAATCATTTAGTGAATGCTTAGAGCTTGGAGAGTGGACTCAACATGTTAATGGCCCAACCAGAAATCGAAATACATTGGATTTAGTTTTCACCAGCAATCTCATTCCTCACACTGTATATATTGGAAAAACGTTTCCAGGTATAGATCATAATATGGTCAGATGCAGCCTTGATAAACGAGCTACAACTATAAAAGTAAATCCACTACACTTTGCAGGGACTTTCGTGGGACTGATTGGGCGAATTTCCGGAATGGCCTCAGAAGCATTGACTGGACTAACTACTTTATCGCAAACAATACCGATGAACTAATAAATGTATTTTACCACAACACGAATAACATATACGACAAATTTGCACCCTTAGGATCCTGGAGACCCAAAATTCCTAAGGACTTATATATGCAAGGTCATATACGAAAACGTCTTCGAAGACATGTTTTCAGACTTATTAACTATAATGACTTCTCCTCATTAGTAACGATGACTGAAATATGTGTCGAGGCAGAGATAATACTTACTAAAAAGGCAATCGCACAGGAAAAGCGTGCTGTTCAACTGAACAATGAATCCTCTGCACTTGTAAAACTCCTTCGGAATAAACTTAAATGCTCCAAAGTGGAAGGAGTTAGCATATTTATTGGGGACAATCAAGTGTACGAAGACCCTAAAAGTATCACATAGTTGTTTAGCGAACATTTGTGTGCCACATTACCAAACAAAAACCCAACAAATGAGTCACACCTGACCCAAATTCCTTCCTCTGAAATAGCCAGTGTTGATTTTAGTGTTCAGAACATTTCTAAGGCGATTAGTACTCTGAAAAATTCTTACATCAAAGGAACAGATGGTAACGCAGCCAGTTTGTTTAAAAATGGTAGCAGTGATCTGTGTGTTATTCTTCTTAAACTAGTTACTATATCACTCTCCACAGAGTGTTACCCTAACAACTGGAAGTCTGAACAAATCATCTCCATAATTAAGTATGGGCCTACAGCGAACGTTTAAAGTTACGGACCAATAAACATAACTTCGGTAGTATCTAGCGTGATGGAGAAAGTAGTTAAGGCAGAGATAATACAACATCTGCTTAGCCACAATCTGACATCGACCTCACAGCATGAGTTCCTGAGGTCCAGGTCGTGTGATACATGTCTGTTAGATTTATTCAACGATATCACGCATAAACAAGACAAAGGATTTCTAGTGTCTGTCCTTTTCTTCGATTTTAAAAAGGCTTCTGATAAAGTCCCACACAACAGGCTCCTACTTAAACTAAAGTCATTCGGAATCATTAACCCACTACATTCACGGTTTATTTCATTCCTAAATGGGCGACAACAAATG